CTTGGGTCACACGTCGTGTTTTTACGTCACAGACTTGTGAAAGAAGTCTGTCTGGATTCTAGAGCACTGCTGCTGAGAGAGCACGTTTAAAGCAGCCATGGGCAGCAGCTGTCAGCAGCTACCTCTGCCAGCATGAAAAAAAGCTTGAGATGTTTATCACAGATCTGAAAATGCAGACAGCCAAGGAGAGGAAGACCTGCCACTCACATTGTGTGACAATGTCCTCGTACTGGTTTGGAGGGTATTTTTAGCGGCAGACAAAATAGTTCGCTCATGAAAACAGTACTGTGGGACTCGCAGGGAGAAAAGGTGCAGTGATCGACTGCCGGGTGATTCTTTTTCACCAGCCAACTGTTGTTTCTCAGTCTTGACCCACGTAATGTGCTTTGAGACAATGATTTGGTGCTTTATAAATTAAACTACAGCAAAAGGCAGCTCTGGAAGGTAAATATTTCACTGGAGGCCAAATTTTTGTGTTCATGTATCCACTAATTATCTTTCAATCCAAAAAAAGGTCTCTCGAGGATAAAACAGAACATCACGACTCCACCTGCAGTACAGAATATTTCCCCTTCTCCTAAGGCTGAGGAGAAGAATCCAGGCTGTTTCAATCAGAGGAGTCTTCCATTGAGGAGTGGAGGGTGGTTTTGGGGGTCAAGGAGGAAGGAGAGGAAGACGACACTGAGGAAAGACACATGTGCAAGACAAGAGGGGAACTCTGGGTACTTGGCAAACAAAAGCAGGAAAAAGAGCGAGGTGGGGGCGGTCAGTGCTGGACGACCGTGATGGAGTCAGACAAAAATAAATTACCACTGGCGGTGAAGATGAAGAGAGAAGCCATGACAGTGGAGAGAGATGCTCTCTCACAGGGAGGGGGCCAGGTCAGCCAGGGATCACAGGCTTAGATCGACAGCATGTAGCGGGTGATTGTGAGGCGCTGAAACGGGATAACGATAATATAAACGCAATCCATTTACCGTGTGAAGAGGAAAATTGCAGCGCTGCTTTAAGGGAACAAGCCCCTGTGGAGAGAATCCATCTGTCTCTGAGCTATCATGGTTTGTTTGCTGCACTAAGCATCTCATGAACATTTTGTCTGTGCTGCGGCATCTAAACAAAACACTTTCATTTAAATGTTTTTTTTAGCATATATGCACACACAGTTGTGTGCTGACAAAGAGCAAGCAGCTATAATAATGCATTCCCAATCGTTCTTAATTGGCAAAGACAATCAGCTGGAATAACAGCATTAAAGAGGCAATGCAATTCAAGCTTTCATCAGTATTCCACCGCCTACTTCTCTCGAACTCCTTACAGGGATTTATTTCCTACACGTAAAAGACACAAAAAGCAGCCGAAAGCCAGTTTGCTTTGGCCTCACTTTTGCAAACCAAAAAACAAGCTTGTGACATGGTTAGCAGTTGCTTGGCTACATAGAAGAAGACAGAGCTGTACATTTAAGAGGCTCTATCAAAAGGGTCACTTCTTCCTCGGATAAGTGAGCTGTTTAAATTCAGCCTGGCTCAGAGGCCGTTAAAGATAACTCACACCATGATGAAAAAAAGTTACCTGAGCAGCTGACCTTTATTTTTCTGCCTCCTTCAATCAATGACTCTGTGTACATGGACACCAATATCCCAGTATTAACCGTAATAAAGACAATAGTCTGAAAAAGATGTAGCCATGTAGCATTTCCTGATTACCATAACTCAAATAAAATCAGAATAGATCTCAGAATAAGATCATACTCAGAATAAGACAGAAATGAGTCACATCATGTTGACATTTACACATTTTAGTCGCATTATAACATCCTATTGGAGTTATCACAGCACATGTAAATAGGAATATGAATGGATTATTCTATTAGATCATGTAAACACCATAATGTCATATTTTGAACGAGGTCAATAGTTGGAATATTGGTGTCAATGTGATGAAAATCATTGACACACTTTTCCATAAAAGTCCAAAGCTGTAGTAGCTGTAGTACTGCAGCAGTAAACACTCCAGCACACTGAATGATGTTGCAACTACCCCCCCATACACACACACACACACACACACACACACACACACGACAGACCATGTGTAATCGACATGTCAACTTGTTCTGACGATTAATTACAGCCCCATGCAGCAACAATCTGTGGGATCAACGCCAGCCGTGGAACTCATTACCACTCCAACTGTGGCCACATCAGGGATGCGATGGATACAAGGAGACGACTGACACAACACAACGTGAAGCGACTGTTTCAACCTCCTTGTTTCTATCAACGTCCTTTCAGTATCAGATCACACATGACTCACATGAAAGAACAAATGTCAACCAACATATAGCTTCTTTCACTGAACAATGATTTCATGAAAAAAGGTTTTTCTTCTTGTCGGTGCTTGGAGCAGCGGGGAAGACCCTGCCAACAAGCTGTGTAACTGTCAGTCTCAGAGACAGGAGAAGGAAGAGAGACGCACAGAGGGAAAGGGAGCGTTTGGTAATACTCTGAAACTCTGTTTCACGATACATATGAGTTGGGTCTGTATTCAGGGACTGCATTTTAAAACGATTGCGTCACAGAGGCTGGAATGGACCGTCCCATTTCAAAGGCTCCTTCAAATGCTCTTTTTTGTTATCATTATTATTATGGGATTACTACACTGTATTTGCACATTTGGCTATTTCTTTGGATCCACTAACATTTGATTTACGAATATTGTTAGCGTATGTTCCAAGAGGTTATGGGTCTCCTGGGTGATTATTTATCACCTATTTATTTATTTTTCCTTTCTCTTCCCTCTATGATTCTTTTTTTTTTGTCCCTCGACGTGGGATACCATCCTCCTACATTGTGAAAAAAAATGGTTCACTGTTTATTGGGTTAAGCAGATGCTTTTTCTGACTTGAAACACGACCAACCATCCCTCTCTTAGACTGAAAGTAACAAATCAGAGGGTGATTTCAGTTTATTACGTTCTGGTTTTCTTTGAACACGTTTCGTCTTCCCAGTGGAGATCTGGACGGGGAACCTCTTTTAGATAATAGCTAACTCTAAAATAAACAAGAGACGTTTGATCGTGTGTAAAGTGTTTTAAGAAGCTGGAATCAGTATTTACAGAGACTGATCATAAATGATGTCTTAATTGAGAAAAGGAGCCGGTAAGCTTGTTTTCTGAGTGGCTGCACAGAGCTGTAGGGCCACAGCTGTGACATATCAGATCCAGGGGATTCTCAACATCAACATCCTCCTCTCTACATAAAACAGAGCATATTACTCTGTTACTGTTCCCTTCTGGACATAAATACATTTCTGATCTTTTGACACCATATGTGCCGGGTCGTAACCTGAGGTCCTCAGCGAAGGCCCTGCTCACGTCGAGCACCAGCCTTTTCTGTCAGGGCTCCAACTGTTTGAAACAATTACCCTGAGGAAATCATTTTATAAGGTTTTATCTTATCTTGTTTTTACTCATTTCTCATCTATAAAACCGTGCTCTAATGCTGTGTGATCTTCTAAATGCTTTTAATTGTTTCTTATTACTGCAGCAGCCTTTTTATTTGCTTCAATAGTAAATCTGAGCATCTTCAGACAGTACAAAACTAAGCTGCCAGAAAATGAACCAGAGTAAATGGGTTGGACCACATCATCCTGGTTTTAGCCTCTTTACACTGGTTTCCGTTGTGTTTTAAAACTGACTTTAAGGTATTACGTACGAAACACTACACTACACTACTACAGAGCTTTATAAATAAGAGCCTTCGAGGCTCTGGAACACCCAGCCTGAGGAAGCACAGCAGGCCGAGTCCTTTTATCGTGTCGTGTTCCCTCATTTGAGCTAATTGTAGTTTTCATTATTGAAATGGGTGGTCTTTCTTTAATTTGTGTGCTTTTATTTATTTATTTATTATTCTTTTACCTTTTTAATTTGTTTGTTTTTGTTATTTTTATGTATTTTCACTTGTGAGTCTTTTATTTGTGAAGCACTAACTTTGTGAAGAGAAGCGCTACATGAGCAACTGTTTCCTATTGTTTGCCTTCAATTTATCATTTTTAACTCATAAAGCAGTTAGTAACTGTGTTGCTATATAAATAAATGTAGTATTATTATTACTGTACTCTGTAAAATGGGAAAGGGATTCTGAAGTGTGGTGGATCCATCTCAGGTTTACCTCTCAAGCGGTTCGATGGGTAAACAGCCACATTCTGCCTCAGGATAAGAGTCTGAGTGAAAGTCTTTCTAAACTGCAGACCTTGAAATTGAAATGCTGTATCACCTGGCTCATGTGCCCGCTTGGGAGAAGGGTCCATATTTTAAATCAGTGTCAGACCAACACCCTTATCAACACATCTTGGAGTCTCTACATGTGCTCCTGCTCGGCTCAGTGTGTAAACCAGCATTGTTTCTGCTCTGCCGACCCTCCTCTCCACTGCTGATCACAGGACAAAACAGGGATTAAAGCCACACTAACATCACAGGGCAACACATCTCCACGGCGTCAACACAAACATCTACGGATAAACCAGTGTGTGTCTGTTGGGGTCCGTTGGTCACAGCCTCGCACCACATGAAACACCATTTCATACATGATTTAATCCGTGTAGCAACCACCAGCTAATGAGCCAGATCCAGAAATTCCCATTGGCCCTGATATAGGTCAGGTCTATCCACTGGAGCATGACATCTATGGTACAGTGTTCCTGCACTAACTGCATGTGCTGCTGGGAGATATGGTGGATGATCCTTGTACTTCTTATAGCCATCGTTGTGCACATGCAGGGACACACACTGGGTGTACAGTTGTGTGCACTCATCCCATGAAACCTTTAAATGTGCAGGAACACCCTGGAGGGGATTGTTTAGTGCTGTGGTGACATGGGTTTATTCTGCAAAGAGGGCTCCAGAGTTTAATGTGATGCTGGGACATTTCTCCACATCACACACACACACACACATACAGCAAATCTCTGTTATTAACGAATAATAACTTGGATCAAACTCACCCAAAATCCCAACAACAAAAAGTTTTCTCAGCACTGCGCTCTCATGTGTATGATCCATCACGCTGTGACGATCCACTCGCACTTTGGGAGAAAACCTCAGCTGCTGCTGCTCCGGGAACACGCGCATTTGAAGCGAACCATGGTTACAATTATCCCCATCGCGCAGATCCGAGCGCGGAGTTCGCACAGAGAGGCCGGTAGAATGGAATGGAGGGAAAATAAAAGGGAGAAGAGAAGAGACTCCTGAAGAAATGTGATCCCATGCAGCTCCTGTCCGGACTGTGCTCGGGATGATCTGAGGAGTCAGGACCACGCACTCTGTCCCGCATCCTCTGTGTGCAGGGGGGAGGAGAGGGAGGAGGAGAGGGAGGAGGAGAGGGAGGTTTTCCTCCCCAGCTCTGTCAACCACTGGATTAAATTCAATCACAAACTCCTGCTGGAGACAAGTTTTACACTGACACAGAAAACTGATGCAAATGATGAAGCTACATTTAAAGAACACGTTAATTTTCTGTGTGTGTGTGTGTGTGCATATATATTTGTTTGCAGTAGAAGAACATTTGTTATGAAATTACATTTTTTATTCTGTAACAGCAGAACAACTGTAATAATTGCATGGGCTACAATCATTTTAAAATTCGAAATTAAGTCTTTCTAAAAAGAAGGTGAATTAAAGTAAATAAATGCTGTTGAATTTTTCCTTTAATGTTTTTGGTTGTATATTCATTTGTGTTGCTGTCTTTCTATCTTTCACATGCACACAACCAATATAACTGAAGTTCATTGTTTTATAATTACTAAAAGTTTTACATCTATGCTAAAATAGCATAGATTCCGTGATATTCTAATTATACATGTATCTGCCAGCCTCCATCACGTCGTAGTCTCGTGCAAATGTTTTTTTCTTTTCTATGGAACTACACTGACCTCATCTGGTTTCTTTTCACACTGCAGCAACAGCAGGAGACAGAGATCTGAGGCTGCAGTTGACAGATACCAATATTATTATGATTATTACTAATTAATCATTGAGTGTTGTTGTTGATCATGTTCACCCCTTTAGTGCCACAGTTTACCATCTGCTAACAGCTACTTCCTGTGAGAACAATGGTAAGAACATCTCAGTGTTAGCGTGCTGTTCCTAATAAAGTGCACACTGAGTTTATTTTGACATGTTATGGGAAGGTTTATAGGTAAATAATCAGTTTACCATAAACTTGTGACAGTTTATGTGAAAATTGTGAATTGTTTGAATGATTATTCATCACATTTTTCTAGATTGGTGTGTTTTTTAAATAAATATCAGCCTATTAAACTCTGGATTCATGTGTCTTGTACATTTCTATGTGTAGTGTAGATCTTTGAATTGAGACAACAGAAACTAGTCCCCTGCAGAATCATTCTGCACATTTAATTTTCACCTAATATTGAAACCTTTGAGATTATCTACAACAAGAGGAGTGTTGGTGCCAGGTGGTGCAGGAGGGTGTGGAAGTCAGATCGACACAAAAAAGCCTCTTACACTTTGCCCTGGTTTTTAGAGCTGAAGAGAAAACTGATGAAATGTGGAGTCAGTTCTGATACATTCTTGCACAGTTCCCTAGAGAATATAATCCCTCAGTAATCGGGCCAAACCTTCCTCAACAAGTCAATCATAGACTCTGTATATTTAGTTGCAGGAAACAGACGATCAGATACACAGACTGTGTGCACTAATCATTATGTATTGGAGGAATTGTCTATTTAAATACAGTTGAGGACATTTTTAAAATTCATTTTTTATGAGATTTCTGATTGTTGTTATCTGATCAGTTTTTGATGCCTAGTTTAATTATGGACTGAATATATGGACGACATGACAGCTCCTTAAATGTCAAATAATTTATTCTCAAAGATTGTGTCTGTCATTTTAGCTATAGTTCTTTGGTTTGGTCTTAAAGGGACAGTTCACAGAAAAATAAAGGCTAGAAATTTGGTGTAAATGATGCTGTTTCGAGTCGAATTTGACTGTCAGGCTTACGGACACTTGGATGACACCACGGGAGAAGTATGGAGAATTTATATTTTTGGTTGAAGAATTGGTCACCAGTTATTTCAATTGTATTGGATTTGGCTGCAACACTGTTTACCCCTAAAACACTTCACCCACCCCTAAATCAGCATAGTGGTGGTAATTTTCATTTTCAGGTGAACTATCCCTTAAATGCACACTTATTTAGTTTATTAAATTTGACTTGAATCAGGGTGAGTTTGTTATTTGTAAAGAATCTTCATCTTTAAGGATTTACACACACAAATCTGCAAGATGGATGAAATGTTCCTTAATTAAAAGGGGAGGTAGTTTGTCTGTAATAAAAACGTAATAACATATATACAATGTTTACATAAAACTAATCGAGGGGGATAACAGGGAAAGCAGTGAGGAGCTGGACAGTGTCCTGAGAAGAGGCAGAGGGAGCTGGACTTGAGAAATGGGACGCGGCCGGTGGAGCTTTCACGGTCTCACCTGAGTGACTGCAGGTATTGAACTTTGACCTCGGCGTGGACACTTTGACTTTGACTGTCGCGCAGCTGCTGCGGGCTCAGCGCCGCATATTCGGAACGCGTGGTCCCGTCGGTGTGAATACCTCAGTGTCACTGAACCGGTTCGAGGAGGATGTCAACAAGTGACGCAGGAGAGCTGCGGCTCAGAGCTGCTCCGCCTGCGCACAGGACCGCACGGACCCTGCGGACAAGGTAAGACACGCGTCTGTTCTCACGCTATTTCTCCAAACACTCGTTCTCCATGCTGCTTTAGATTGTTTACCTGCTTGTTGGATGTTGTCGAGATGTTTTAATACTCACCGGAGACTTTTTGCCCGCTGTGTGATGCGTCCGTGTGAGCGGAGAGAGACACCCAAGCCGAACTCCGTTGACAAATCTGCACATTGAGTGTTTCAGCTCTCGCCTGGAAGCAAATCCAAGTCTCACAGCCAAATGAAAAGATGTCGCGATTCAAAGCTTCATTTCGGTCGTTTCGGCGTGAATATATCACAGTTTTGCACTTTTTATATTTGCTGGAGACTTTTTAGAAACCAACGCCGAATTCCGTTGACAAATCTGTATATTGAGTGTTTCAGTGCTAGTCTGGAAACCAAATTCACGTTAAACAGCTTAAACAAATAGACGTCGCGATTTATGATTTCATGTGGGGGATTTCGGTGGGGAATTACTGCAGCCATATTCACATTTTCCTCGTAGATCAGCCTCAGGACAGTGACCATACTTTGACAGCAGCAGGAGTAAGAAGTATGGTTTTACTTCCACGTGTTTCATCTCGTTGTTTTTATACCTTCCAATGTCGTGATGATGAAAGTTACGCACACATATCCATTTAAACTCCATAGAAGTGTTAGTTTTTGAAACAAAGTTTGGTGGAGAGGTGCTTTTCCCTTGCTAAATAAAATGTGACGTGTGTGGAATGTGGAGCATACCAGGGCCTGTTGGACTCTTCACTATCCCAAACTATTATAACCAGTAACATGAGTTTAACTAGTAGTTTGGTGTATTTCAGCCTCAGTGGTTTAACATGGCTCACATACGTGCACACTCAGGCCTGCAGGTTGGCCTGTCACCACCGTGTTGAAGCTGTAGCTGCATGCCCACAGCTCTGTTTATTATAGTGTATCAATCCATTGGCTGCATGATAAACAGCCATGCTGGAAGTGTGACAGCCGCTGAAGGTGTGGCGGCAAACAGAACAAGTCTCACTCTGTCCTGACCATCTGCTCTTACCACTGCAAAGTCATTAACTTAACTAACTGGATGAGTCTCCAAAAAAAGCAGTTTTGGGTGTAGATCATTAGTTGGCACATGACATGTGTTTGTCAGTGCTGAGCACACACCCACACTTGGGGTTCAGCCTGGATCTTTTGTTATGTAAGTGTTAGCTGGCAGATCTGGACGCACACACCCACAGCCCAGGATGACCTGCACTGGAGAACACACCGACATACTTGCATGAGACACACACCACAATACAAAAATAACAGTTAGTCATCTGCCCACGATGCATCAAAACAAGTGGTTCACACAGCGCAGGCACGTTTCACGGCTGCAGCACAGATGGAATGCTTTACACGTCAGGTCATAGGTCATCAAAGTACTTTGACAACAACCACACCAAAGATTAATAAGTGAGTGTTTAAAGAGAAAGCGAGCAGAGGAACACAATAGCTTTTTGACTGGTGCAGAGAAAGACACAGTCAGATCTGGTCATCGGGTACACACAGACAAATCCATGATGTCATTCAGTGAGCACATCCCTGCATGCTGCTGCTGACGTCCACCTGACAAATCCCACAGGTGTTTCTACAGAAACTAAAATGTACCACGAAAGATTATGTATATCTCATTTAATTTAAAAAGATGTAAAAGTTATTATTTTGTGGAAAAAAAGATGGAGCAGATTAATCGATTGGACAATCAACAAAAATATTTTGCAATCATTCTGGTATTCCTATAAATATTTTTTATCAATCAAAAAATGTATTCAAGCACAAACACCAAGAGCTTACTGGTTCCAACTTTTCAGATTTTTATATTTCTGGTTTTTGCCACCCTCTGTGCTGATGATTGAATATCTATAAAGATAATAAAATAAATAAAACAAGCCTTAGTCAACTCTAAGAAATTGTGATTGTGATGACTTGATCTTCTGGCATTTAAAAAAAATTTTATCTCCCAAACAACTCATCAATTAATGTATAAAATAATCCAAAGATTATTTCATTATGACAGTAATCCTTAGATGCAGCCACAAAATATGTAGACATAAAAAGGAACGAAAATAAACACAAAGATAATTACATATTAATGTGATACTGATATTTACCTCCGCCACGTAGGTTATGTTTTAAATGGCATTTGTTAATCTGTCTGTTTGTCTGTCTGCCTGTCACTCAGCAGGATTACTAAAAAAATACTTTGCATAAAATCTTATAGTGGGATGAGACGTGACCCAAAGAGAAACTCATTTCATTTTGGAACAGATCCAGGAATTTTATTTACTTTCTTTAACATGACGAGATAGGATGTGAGCCTCGAGTGAGGTATGCACTCTGAGCAACTTTCTAGTTTGCAAATTGTTAGTATGTCCATTATGCAACAAGGTGACACCAGGACAAGCATCATGTCAAGTGTAACTTCCAAGAGCTGCAGCTGTAGCGGAAACTGTTTACTATCAGCAACTAGACTAAACTAACATAGTAGAAGTTCTTCATACAGAGGCTGGAAGAGGCCAGTGAATTCAGAATATTTAAAACAATTGTGATAATAGTTCCTGATTAATTAAATCTCAACTGAAGTAGATGCAAAACAAAAGAAAGAAGACTATGTGGTTTGTAACTCTAAAGGAAAAAAGCACCAACATTGTTCAAGTTGCTTCTCCTTGCAGCTCATTAATAGTTAATAGAATAACTTTGGGTCACGTATATTGGTACTACAACAATGACAACGTTCTCTCAGTTTTCTGGAATGAATTCTAAGATTAGTCCACAGGTTCAGGGATAATGAAAGTAATGCTTAGTTGCAGTCCTACAGTCAAAGAGCTCTATACAGTCTGGTCCACAGAGAGAGAACATGTATGGGTGCTGCACCAGCTCAAGTAACAGGCAGAGCCCTGCACTGCTCTATTAATCCCATAATTAGTTGGTTTCCACCGTCACTTCATTGACTTAAATCATCAAACATGGTCACTGGCAGGTTTTCAGGGACTTATACAGCACAGCTATTGTACTGTTTCATCTGTTGCCTCCGGCAGAGGCAGGATTCAAAGCACTTGAGGATCCACATTGGAAGGTGTGTTGGCCTTGGCACAGAGGTAGGAGCCAAAGAACATGAAGATCTCCTCCCTTCCCCCATCACATTTCTTTTGGTTTCTCTGATCATGTCGCATCATGTCAGGCTTTTATAATAGATTTGATGAGATTATGTTCTAATAAGGTCAGGGAGTCACCCCTGAGGGGAAGGTGGATGTGGAGCTTGGTATGACGGTCCATGTTAAGGTTGAAAAATAAAAATCTAAATTAATTGTGCACATAAACTCACAAAGCAACACTGGTAACATCAAGCCTGTGTGGATCCTTAGCAGTGATTTCCTTTTGCGCAGGAAACAGTGAATTGAAAGTGACCCAGGAGTGTCTCCTGACAGAAGATTGGCCGTCATTTAATTTGCTGTATAGGATTAAGGTTGCAGGGGACTCAAGTCATACGTGTTCATATTTAGTTAGCAGCCTCATCTTTGTTCTGTGTCCTCATCGTGTTGGGCAGTCGGCTCTGTGTGGGTTTGGCGTAACCAGTAAAATGTGCATGTTTGAGTGGGTTTGTTAGTACTATCCTCTGGTTGTAAGAGAAAGCGTGGTGTGAGCAGAGTTGAATCATTATGCAACCACATCTTATCAGTCCGGCACTGCTAAAGTGATGAGAGCTACATCTGACTGATTTTCCTTTGGCTTAAGTTTTCTGCCTGTACCAGATACATTACAGCCCTCGTCCTTCAGTGCAATGCATAAAAGGATCAAACATTAATGGGACAAGAGATTGTATTTTTTTTTTTTTTTTACCTTAATACACACACAAATAGAACCCATAGCATTTGAACATACAACTGCAAAGAGCCCAATGACATTTTACAACTAGTAATGTAGTTTAGAACATTGTCTTCTTTTAAATGATCTGAACCGACTAAATGATGATGATGATGAATCAAATTGAGACCTTGTGAAATCGGAATCGAATCAATTTGTGAAATCAGTGACGATACCCAGCCCTATGTAGTAGAATTAGCCACATCTGAAATGCCCTTCAGCAAGGCACTTCCTCCCCCAGCTGCTGCAGGGGGGCTGCACAGCAGGTACAATGGCTGGACCCAGTTAATCTTTAGCATTTTTGAATGAGTTACCACCTGAAATAATGAATTCTACCTGTGTGTTTTAGAGAACAGCAGGTTGAAACAGTTGAGAGGCTTCAGCAGGAAAATCATATAGCTGATGAAATCCAGAAAGTCCAGGACCATCACCAATTGGCCATCAGTCAGGAGGGACACAGAGGTGAAAAACACACACACTTAACATTTCTCTATATGTGAAGAATCTTTTTAGCTTTGACTATTTAAATGTGCAGCATTTAATCAGCTGTTCTGGATCTATTACAGCACAAAAATTTGGAGTGGACAGAATAAGACAACAGCGGGTCAACTTCCAGAAACCTTGTGGACAAAGATTCACCTCTTCTCTCCTCATAAAACTCTCCAGGAATCAAAACCTCGACCAATCAAAACTAAAATTCAAGTCTGAGTCCTGTCTACGCAGGTAAGCCAAGAACAGACACGGCACTATAGGTAGCTTTGTTTCAAGGGACTAACAGGGTTCTTCTTTGACATGTAGGACATTATATCACCGTGCTGTTGTGTCTGCGTGTGTTCTGACACAAAAAGTTAACTAAATGACACCTGTTTTGTGCATGAAGGCTACATGTGTGCATGTGTCTGTAGCTACATGATGTAGTTATAGACACATATGCAGACTTGTACTGATCTTTTAGTCCAGCATTATTATGAGATCATAATCGGATGGCTTCACAGACCAGCCTTCCCTCAGTGTCCAACTGAAGGTCAGCTAAGCGTTTACTAAAGCCTCCTATGCAGCATCAAATCCCATGGGTGAAACCATAGATTGTATATAAAGATGGACTACGTGTCTCCACCTCCTCCCACCTTTATGAAATGAATAATATTTTCCCTTCTTCAGCTTGAGTCTGTGCTGTAACGATTGACCAATCACAAGTCAGTCTCACTCACCGTCCATCTTTATATATAGTTCTACATTATTTGTGCTGTATTGTCATTATTCTCATTCAGTAACCGTAGCTCATTTGCTCGTTCTGCTGTTAGCGAACAGGACTGGAAGCTGCCTTTGCTCTTGTTGTCAGTCCTCCTCAAGGTGTGGTATCTTTCTACAAATCACTACTGGTCTGACCTGTCGTTAACAACATTAATTAGCCACCTGTTAGCATTAATGACTCTTGCCCTTAATTGGTAAACTGTTGCCTTCAGGAGCTGCTGTCGAGATGTGGAGTAGTGGAACATAAACCACTAACAATTTGTTAAGGGTCATCAGATCACATTTTCTTCCTTCAGGTTAAACAGTAACTGAAGCAGCTGACCCTGTCTGCATACTGCAGCATGTGGCACACTATCTGGAGGGGTCAGCTCCATGTATAAACAAGGAAGCGCCCTGAACAAAGTAACCCCCATCTGAGAGATATGTGTTTAACTCCAGATTCTAAAGATATGAAGCTTTTAGTGCCCTGCCAGGAAGTCTCATGGTGTACATTTAACTGTTAACGTGTCACAAATCATCTATTTGACAGCAGCACAAGTTAGAGGTGAATTTGGATTTGTGGAGAAACGTTGAACTCCTTCAATCAAAGCTGACATGACATAATTACTCCTTTTGACATTGAGTGTGGCTGGAAAGGTTTGTGCTTTGAACTTTCCCTTCAAAATTATTTGCATGACAATGTGTGATGCAGTGTGAGATTTCAAAAGTCAATAAGGGTCATTGATTGAGATGACTTTATTGCTTCAAGAGATGACTCACCTCTTTGTTTGCGAGCCACCTGCAGTCTGTTCATACAGTCCAACATGACCTTATATAGACTCTCTGATCGTGCATGAGCAGTGCACACATGTGATCCATGTGCTGCCCTGTACAACATTAAAGTAGATTGTAAGTGCTCTCATAAATGGTTGCGAGGTGTGACTTTAAGCACACAAGCAACAGTGAGAAAACTGTTTAGCCGGGAGGGACAAGGAATGCTGACTGTCCTGCTGTTCAGCATTACCATGGCAAATGTGAGACGCCAAAATTCCTCAAATGTTTCACACAAAAACATTACAGGAAGACTGTGACATTTTCTCACCCGTATTATTATTTCTAGAATCTTAGATGTTTTTTCTCCAACAATAACATTTTCACTTTTCCTGTTTACAACTTGCACAATTCAAAATAGCAAATTCATGATTTTACAAAGGCCTTCTTTGTAAAATCCCTTGTATAACACACCCAATAACGATAATGAAGTAAACATGTGCAGCCTTTATATGGTACAACAAATATTGGGTGTAATCAAAGCTCCATAGCCATAGTTCATACGTTATGTTTGGAAACCATAACAAGTTGTGCATACTGTAGGTCATGTCCTGTCTATGGCAGGTGTTAATCTGTCTACTGTCCCCAGTGGTTTTAATGTCTCCTCTCTCTCCTGTTTTGCCAGTTTGACTGAACCACAGAGGGCTGAGAACGGCTGCTGTCAGGTAATTATCATCCAAATCTTTACCATTGTGTACCGAAAACACCTGAGATCGGTTATTATTTTAAGAGTTGGACAGGGTGTGTGTGCATTGTGTGTACGTCCTCTGAAACCTCTCATGTCTTTCAAAATAACCTGTTTGTCAAGGCCTGGATCTCTTAAATAGCTACACCATGGGAACAGAAGCTTTAGCAAAGCTCTGGCTACTTTGCCAGCACATAATTTAGAGCTCTAATAGCATACTTGCTGTAAAAGTCAGATAGCATGTTCACAGAATTTGAGCTTAAGGTGACATATAAGGAGTAAGTCTTTAGTAATAATTAAAATAAATGATGATCTGTATAAATTACTTTGAAATGGAAAAAATATGATGTGTAGCTTTAATTTTAATATTTCTTCATTCAATAATGAATGTATTATTTTGTTGTTTGGTAAATTTGTATTTAGTTTACAACATCTGTTATTTAGTGTTTTTCTTTTTACAGGTGAACAGCAGAACATCAGCACCAGACACCCCTGCAGAGACAGCCAGTTACTGCCTTTTACCGACAAAACAATTTCTAGCCACAAAGGAAAAGGATGTTATCACTATTGGTTGCAATGAACTGGAGACTACAAGGCACTTGAATGTAAACAGTTTGCCAAATGGTCACTTTGGACAAAATGAATGTAATGGCTTGCACTTGCATCCATATCGGGCAGAACCAAAAAGGACTGGCACTGGATCAATAGAGGTAGAGAAGGATATAAAGAACCATACAAAGCTTGAGACTCAAAGGGATTCTGAACTATCAAAACCTGCTGTCACCATGTTGTCTTCCTCTGTGGTCACAGTTCTCGCTCCACACTGGAGTAGCCGTCTACGACGGAGCAAAAGATTTGAGGGAACTGGAAATTCAGAATCTCAGGGGAATTTACAAGATGTGACAAGCACTGTGACAAACCATACTCATCGGGAGACTCAAATCCAACATGGTCCAGTGAGGGTGTTGGCGGATGGATCACAACCCCAAGTGAGAGCCCCATTTGTGGGTAGCAGGAGGAACGTGATGGACTGGTCAACAATGAGTGATCCTGTAAGAATGGACTATGATTCTAATAAGAAAATGAATCAAACTGTCTCTCTGGATGTAACCTCTGGAAGGACAGACAACAGGAAACTAATTACAGGTGCTTTAAGCCCAATAGCTACAAATACACCACCACTATCACCTCCATCCTTTGACCCAAATGAACAAAGGAGAAATCCACAAACCGGCCATAAAGGACCACTGTCACCTATAAGCTCTAAACCAACAACCAGCAGTCTGCTTCTGTCTTTAAGACGAATCAACTCCAGTGGCAGGAGCTCTAATGCTCCCCCCACCTTCCCTGGTGAAAACCCTGCTCCAAGCGATCAAGAAGGAAACTCTTTCAATAATAATGAGCAACAGAGGTCAACGCCTGTCCGCTCTCCATTGTCCATTTCTTATAGGTCAACTGAAATCAGGCCTGTCCTTTCCCCATCACCCTTCGACCACAGAGAAAGAAGTGTGTCTGAACCCCGCTTCTTTTCAACTTCACCTTTAAAAAAAGACACACCCTTCACTCAACAACCTCAAACATGTTCCAAACAGGCATTTCTGAGTAATGTGCCATCAGCAAGGCAACAGATCTGCAGGAGTTCAAACAAAAATCCAAACCTATTCCCAAAGAGCTCAGTTCCCTCGCCCAGACATTCCCCATATGATCCCTCTGCCCTCCTAAAAACCCACCCCCTCCCTAGAAGGACCACACTGACATCCACTTCCTGGTGGAAACAAGTTACCCAGGAAGGCAGTTCTCCTTTAAGCCCTGATGATACAACCAATATCAAAGACCAGCCGAACACACCCTTAGTTCCACCCTGTGATGACAGCAGCGCCTTGGCAGTGCCAACTTTAACTGACAGCAAAAGATTTAGCAGTCAAATCCCCAATAACAGAAACAACAACAGCACAGAGTCAGTTTTCAAAGGTAACATGAACCTTATTATGACACAGGGAGGAACTCACAACCTTAAACAAATAAAGGACTCACCTGAATACAAATCAGACAGACTATTCAGAAGGCAATATGCCTCCTCTTTAAATAACAGGGAACCACTGAAGCCTCTTAATTTACCAGATGTTTTGTCTAGGTCTCATATTAACAGAGCTGCAGCGCAGACAACACTGAGTCACCCTAAAGATCTCAGCAAGAGTCCTGTAAGTAATAGTTCATTTACAGCCAATATAACTGAATTATCTCCTACTTTGATAAATCTCAAGAGCTCAGATTCACCCACTGAGAGGAGCAGCAAATACAAAAATGACCAAGTCAGCAGCACTCCCACATCTCTTCACAACAAGGACTCTGAAAAGTTAACCAAGCATTCGCTTAACCTTTCTTCCACCATCCCTCTCAACAGTCAGGCTCCTGCTTCTAAAACTACATCTGATCTCCCTCCAACCTCAAACACAAAAACTGATTCCTCCTTTTATTTCCATCCACTTCATTCTCAGACAAACATTCACACTTCAAACACTGATTCATCTTCCCAAACATCCAAATTAACTGACAAAGCCAACGTCACACCTCTTGGCTTTAAAAGAAGCTATGTCTCCATTCCCACGCATGTCCACCCTAAAGCAGTGTCTAGTCTAATTCACACTGTCAGTGCTTCCCCCCAATTAAACAACATCCCTGTATCCTCTGCATCCATCACCTCTACTACCACTGCCAGCCATCCTGCAGTCACAACTGCCCCAGGCCCATCCTTCCTTACTCCTGCCATCAAGTTATCTCCTACCACCACCACCCTCTCCCCTCTCCTAACCCCCCCTGCCACCCCAAACAACACTAGCCCAAGCTACTTAGATACATCCAACCCCAAGGAAAGTAGGACATTCTCAAGCAGCCTAGAAAGAGACAAAAAGAAACTGGGCCAAGAGGTAAAGGGAAAGAGAGTGAGACGAGTAACATGGGAGGACTCTCTGGATCACCCGTGTTCTGAGCCCACCACAGTAGAGAAACCAGATCCATCTGGTGTCTCAACAAGTCCTCTCTCACCTTGTGTTAGAGCCCCACCCATTTTCTCCTTTCTAAGATCAAGCAGTCCAACCATAAATACATCTCCTCTGTGCCCCACTACCTCCCAAACCCCTAGCATACAGATGGGGAAAGGAGGGAGGTATCGATGCCTGTCATCTGACTTTGCTGATTTAACATCCACAGAGCAAGAGATGTCGAAGAGAGGAGCTAATGAGACACTTATCTCTGACCCACTTAGACAGGAGTTAACCACAACTGGGCAAGAGAGGACACAATCAATTGAGTCTGGCAAAGTCCAGTGCCGTTCCTCTGCAGCTCTCTCCCTCCCTCCTGACTTTTCAAGTGGTTATAAGCTTCGTTATAGCTCCCCGCCTTACTCCACTCTAATGTCTAGCAGGTCAACACAGGGAGAACTCAAGACAATCAAGCCCAGATCACCCCTCTTCCAACAAGCTTCTCATTCAGTTTATACTCCACTTTCCTTACATACTGAACCTGGTTCAGGTATAGCCATACCCACATCCAAATCCCCTCTGGCACCTGTCAGCCCACCCCAGACATTTTCTTTTCCAGTGAAAAACAAAATTGCCACAAAAGAAAGTTCACATGAGGTTTCCGAAACATATCAAATCAACAATCAGAGCCAGTATAGCAATCATGATACCCAGAATGGCCAGCTATTACTTGTCAACAACAGAGTTCATATCAGCTCCCCATGTGAAAAGGCACAAATCTCAACATGTGTAACTGAAACACTAGTTTACAGCATTAAATCTAAAACAAATACAGCTACAACTTCCTCAAAGAACACCACACCTAAACCCTTGCAACATACAGAGGCCAAGTTAAGTCAACCACACAGAGGGAAGAATAAGGAAGCAACAGGTGAACCACATAGTCATTCAGGTCAGAGCTCCAGTAGTGGCAGCTCAGCAGACAGTCAGTCCCAGTGTGACGGAAGCCACAACAGAAAAACAAAGGAGAATGTGCTGGGTAAAAGCAGGTTCTTTTCAGTGGAGAGCAGCAATGAACAAAGCCCAAAGAAAAGCCGGTTTGCACTGAAGAAAAGTGTCAGCACACCAAACTCCAGTTTGTCAAGGTCAGAATCAGAGAGGTCCAACAAGACAAACAATAAAATGGACCAGGTCCTTAACAAAATAAAACAAACATTTAGCACCAGACGGTCTGATGACGATCCATCATTTCCATGGAAATGGAAGAAGGCTTCACAAACACCATCTATCAGTGGATCAAGTGACATTAGCACAGTCAGTGATATCACCTCTGACAGGACCAAAATGGTTAAGGAGAGAGAGAAGGAGGGATTCGTAATTAAGGACAGTGACCAAGGAACAGAGGGTGCAAAGAGACAGACACAAAACAGATACATTATCATACCACCCCCAGCTGCTGGTTTCACATCAGCAGGAGATCAGTTCTCCATTTGGTCAGAAAAATCTAATCAAGAAACTGACCAAGATGAGCAAAATGCTTGTGCAAGATTGTCTGACAATAAAACCCAAGTTCATCTTATGCCCCATACCCCAAAAATACATAATTTTGACAAGACAGATTATAAACCCACAATCCAGTTACCCACGTGTAGAGATCTCAGTCCTGGTAGGAGCCCTAACCCCTCTGGTAGTTATCCTACTCAGTTTAGGAAGTCCACATCCAGCTCCAGGAGCCCCTTCTCCCCCTTTCCCTCTCTCACCCCTGTCTCCCCATTTTCCTCACCTGACATAACAGATGACAATGTCTTCTACAGCCCAAAGCTACAGCGTTGCAAGTCATCCTCACCATGTGAGCCAGAAGAGGGAATCAGCCTAGGGGGTTCAAGAAGAAGCCGTGCATCCACTGGTCCTCCAAGTGCAAGTCCTGGACAGGACAGTGATCACTTTGCATCATCCTATGCAGACTTAAAGTATGGCATTGAGCCTGGGAGGTCATTTTCTGTGAGCTCAGTACTCTCCAGTCGTCCCTCAGGGCCTGGACGCATCTCCACTGGATCCAGATTCATGAGTGTGGGTGATCTCTCGGTATCATCCTTGACTTGTGGAGGTAATGACAAGGACTCAGATCAGTGGTCTTTCACACCTGATTGGACTACAGAATATGATTGCATGCCTCCAGGTGAATACAGTGGTTCACATTTCCCCAGTGAGCCTGGTAAAATGAGATCACGGTCTCTTCCTCGATCATTGACCAGGCGCTTAGGAAACTGGAGCTCTGGAGTCTCCGTTTCTCAACATGGAAATGCCACAGGCTCAAAGCAAGCTAATCGTTGGAGCCCGAACATGAACATTTGCCAGTTTGAATGGGATACAGAGGGTCCCCCAACACCCCCTCCAACACCTCCCCTGTCACCAGTGTGTAGACGGATGTCCCAACCCCCCAGCATTTCTTCCCCTACCTTTCCCAGCCCACCTGGAGCACCACTGTCAGTGGAGAGCCAGTCCTCTAGAGGGCATTTGCCCTCCAGAGGTTATGTGTCCAGCCTTAGCACCTTTGAGGAGTCTTCTGACAGCAGCTCAGACACGACAACCGATGACGAATATTACTTAGAAACAGGTGATGGTGAAGAAAAGGAGACAGAATTGTGAAAGTCGAAACAACTGCTCTCTTTCAAGTCTGTGATCCTGAACTTAATGATGGTGAATAAGGAGAAACCCCCCAAGAGAAGAAAGATGGGCTGTAATCTGTCATGTGCAATGACCTCTGCTGCTCTTTTGCTCTTTTCGTGACACAGAGGAAACATGAGGTCAGAAGAGACAGCTGGTTGCCTGCATGATTTGCTTTTCCAAAGTGGTGGTTGCTGTTGTGTTAAATAGCCAAGCATGATATTATCAGCACAGTTTTAAACATGTTTTAAAGGATGAACAGTGTACTTTAATTAGCTGGCATATGTGGAATAAAATAATAACCATTGTTCAACATTTGTAGTTCTGACAGTTGCATGGCATTAGTGAGGGATGTACATCTTTTCAGCTGTTTTAACAATAAGTCTTATCTTTCTCATTTGCATTTCATCCTGCTACTTAATAATAAGTGCTGAGGTAATGTGGATAAATATGCTATAACATATTTCAACATCTGTCTTCTGTGTTTGAAGATTGAAATGAATTGGAGTAAATGTAGTCGGCATAATGCAGATACAGTTAATTTTTGTGGTTTAAAAAAAACTTACAATTTTGTTAATAACATTTGTGCTCTACCCAGCGCTTGCTCTTATTTGCACAGTAACAATCTAAAGTCTTAATATATCTATTTTGTTAATAAATGTAATATTTCCAACAGTATTTGTGGTAGTTTTATTACACTCTTGCTGTTGTGTGGTGTCAAATGATCCAGGCTCAACCAGTATGATTTCTCATTGTGTCATTTTATTGCAGTGTTAAGTGTTAAATTAAGTGAAAGGGAATGTCGGGTATTGGCACGATCAAAGATTCAGTTCTGCGGGTCACATTCCAGTCTGCAGGGAGTTTTTCAAAGACCAGTAATAATAACAATGCTATCTACTTTAAATATGGTGGGGCTGTTCACATTCTTCAAGTGGGTGGTTCCTTTTGTTCCTAGCTGTGGCAACACAAACTGTTTTGGTGATGGTTCGACAAAACATCCATTAGAGTGCGTGCGAAATCGTTACTTCGCCTGGGTGTTTGCTGGCAGAGTACTTTGTGTACTCAACTTTCTCTTCTATGCATAGTCTTCCCAGGGAGACATTCACATTGACACAGTACATATATTATTAGCCATGATGTCATGTGGGAAGGGCACAGAAGCTTCACATTATGTGTCTTCATGAGCATGTACAGCTCAGATTTTTCCATCTCATGTCATCATTTGGAAAATGTAGCCGTGTACTCAGAATAAACACAGGCACTCAGTTGAATCTATGGGCAGCTTGTGTTTATCTGGTCTATTTTACAGTGATCACAACACGCAGCGATATTCAAGGACCGCAACAGCCTATTTCTTTGAGACTCTTGGGAGTAGTGTTGGATTAATGTGACTTGTATTTTGATTGTGTGCAAAAACCCATTATCTATTTGTTTTTCATCATAATAAATTCTTCACGGAAAGTCTAATCCACAACCCAAATATAAATGTTGCAGGCCCGCACACAGTGATCTGTGTTTTTAATGAGGCAGCCTCATTCTGTAATAAAAAGTAAAATCTCAGTGCCCTTCAAGATAAGATAGAGAAAGAAGAAAAGATATTAACCTGCAGGAAAGCAGTGTCAGCACTCGGACAACTTTAATCAGGCAACCTGCAGAACTGAATGGTTATGATGGCATCGGTGTGTGTGTGTGTGTGTGTGCTGAGTGCATCACAGGTGGAGTTGTTCAAAGTCAAACTAAAGAGCTGACAAAGATTGACAAGGAAATGAAGGTACATAGAGAGGAAGCATAAAGATGTTAGTTTGTATCGCACCTTTCAAGTAGGTGCTTTACATTGGCCACATGGACATTTTGTTTTTGTATTTTATTTCCTTGTATTTGTAATTCTCTTAAATCAAAAAAGGCAGACATATTACCTTGACATATCACCAGTTAACACTGTAAACGCATTTATCCACCATTACACTGATGATTATGTGTAGTTCAATAATTTTTTTCCTTTTAAAATATATATTTTGAATGTAATAATTCAATTGAACTAAATTAACCAAATTAATGTTGTTTTCTAACACTAAGGCACAATAACCCAAAACAATGCATTCATAAATGTATGTACCACCTCGTGGTAAATACTGTTTAAGACCTGAGCATTTTATAGGTTACCATGGAGCTCATGACAAATATTTAACAGGATTTTATTGATGTTACTTCTTTCTATTATTATGGGGCCATAAGTCCTTTTTGAATTGAGCTCTTTGGCCATCTGGTGGTGTCTAAGTGCTACATCATAATAATCCAATCTTCTTATGTGAGTCACTGTCACTAAACACTGTTTTAGAAGAAGCATGAATCCATGTATAGCATTTTTTTTTTGCTATAATTCCACACCTACCTCTGTGGCAGCAGTTTGATTATTGAGTGAAACACTGAGGAGCTTTCTGCAGCCACAATTACTCACTGTACTGTTTCTCCTCAGTTTCTTCACTGACTAATAAGTCTGTGATGCATCTGTGTTTCCATCTTATTCTCCTCTGTGTCATCAGCAGCTCAAAGTAGCAGCACTGTGGAGTATTATTATACAAGAACTGAGCAGCAAAGGTTTGAACTTCTCCTCTTTTCATGCCGAAACATGAAAAGGAACGCTGCTTGGAAAGTGTTTTCAGGAAGTACAGCAGAATTTTAATTACAGTTACTCCCTCACAGTGCAGGGATCCACTCTCTGTTTTTCTCTTTAAAGTCTAGTGAGTCACTTCCTTATCACTTTTTGAGCTTTTGAGTGTATTAAACAAAGGAAACACGATAAAGCCGTGCAGTCAAAACCAATTTATTCCTTATTCCACTCATGTTGCACGGAGAATAAAGAAACTAAAACACTACAAAAAAAAAAAAAATCTTGAAGATCCAGGTAAAGGGATCGCCCTCACTCATCGTGTGATTTCTGCACAAATGAAACAAAACAAAATTACAAGAGTACAAGTCGCAGTTCTCTATTAAATTGAGAATCTTTGATCATCACTACTGACCTTAGCTCCAGGGTCACGGCTCTTTGCTCTCAGCTTGTTGACCTGCGACTCTGCGATGTCGGCCCTCTCCTCTGCTTCCTCCAGCTCATGTTGTACTTTACGCATCTTCCCAAGATTTGTGTTGGACTGTTCCTCCTAAGAAAAAAAGGGTTATCATAAAGCAATCATAAAAATCAAGAATCCAATGGGAAACTAGTTACAGTTTGATTGTAATTCATTAAGACAAATATTTTATTCAAAAGATGGTAAAGATGTAGTTTTTTTTGCTCACAGCCTCCTCTGCACTCCGCTTATACATCTTGACTTTCAGTTGAAGTTTATCCACCAGGTCCTGCAGACGGCTCAGGTTCTTTTTGTCCTCCTCGGCCTGTTCAATTCAGCACATTAATGATCAAGAAATCTCTTTGCTGAATTGCTGTCATAGAAATAGTTGTGCAAGTAGAGATTACCTGGTAGCTGAGCTCTTTGATGCGTCTTTCATATTTGCGAATACCTTTCACAGACTCGCTGCTTTTCCTTTGCTCCATGTCCACCTCGTTTTCCAGCTCTCGCACCTTGAAAACAGCACATGCTGATGCAATGATATTTTAAACCACTTTTAAAACATTCTATAACAGACTCCAGACTTGGCTTTAGGGCCATTAACTGACAAATCCATCCTGCTATTACCACAAATACTACATTTTTGCATCAGAAAATACACAGAATGTTCTAAGATGAAATCATATATTGTGAAAAACATATGAAAGTGACATTTTTAGCCCTACTGCGTGCTACTCTTAAAACTTGAAGCTGCTGCAGCCCCCTGTTCAGCACACCTACTTCCACCATCCTCCCCAGTACTGTAAGACCACACAAGCAAAGAAATGAAGCCGACGCATCTTGATCACCCCATGATGACTGACTGCATAATTTGTTATAAACCATGCTTCCTCCATGTTAGTAGATGGGACATGGAGCAAACTGCAGTCACTTTTTTCCTCAATGATGTTTTATCATTTTAGGTAAGTTTTATCTCAATGCTGTATGTTTAAGTGCTATTTCTCCAGTACATTTAGGTTTTAATTACTTCTCTAAATCAGGGTGATCCCTCATGATTGCCAGCTTTGCAACCGTAGCTCCACACCCTGATCACTTCTAAGCAAACCAAATTACAATTCAAACTCCAAATACACAAGGTCGTAGGTTTCATATCCAGGATATTTTTGCTTAACTCCTGGATGGTGGGATCCACCTCTGAACTCTTTATCACTTACTCTGGTCTCGAGCTTTTGGACTTGCTTCTTGCCACCTTTCATGGCTATTTGCTCAGCTTCATCCAGGCGGTGCTGCAGGTCCTTGATGGTTTGCTCCATGTTCTTCTTCATGCGCTCCAGGTGAGCGCTGGTGTCCTGCTCCTTCTTCAGCTCCTCTGCCATCATAGCAGCATCAGTGATGGCCTTCTTAGCCTTCTCCTCTGCATTTCGGCACTCCTGCACTGCCTCCTCCACCTCGCTCTGAAGCTGGGTGGTGTCTCCCTCCAGCTTCTTCTTTTGGTTCAGCAGGCTGGTATTCTGCAAGGAGGGTATCAGGAACATGTGGATGTAGGGTGGACAGACAGATGATGATACATTGATTACAAATGGCATACCTGGGAGTGAAGCAGCTGAACCCGCTCACTGACATCCAGAAGTTCCTGCTCTGCCAGTTTTCGACCTCGCTCAGTTTGCTCCACCAGAGATCTCAGCTCATCTAGTTCAGCCTGCAGCAGGTTGTTACGTCTCTCCACGATGGCATTGTTCTCCTTTAGATCATCGTTGCTACGCAGAGCATCATCCAGCTGCAGGTGGGAGTCCTGTCAAAACAGACAGTCATATTATTTCTATTGTTAAAATGTCAAAGAAACACAATCCCCTCCCTGGTTAGATTTATAGACGTACCTTCAGATGGGCATGGACAGCCTTGAGCTGCTTCTGAGCCTCTGCAGCCTGCCTGTTGGCCTGGCTCAGCTGGATCTCCATCTCGTTGAGATCTCCCTCCATCTTCTTCTTAATCCTAAGAGCCTCGTTTCTGCTGCGAGTCTCGGCGTCCAGGGAGCTTTGCAGAGTGTCCACCACTCTCAGGTGGTTCCGTTTGGCCTGCTCCATCTCCTCGTCCTTCTCAGCCATCTTTCGCTCAATGTCGGCCTTCACCTGGTTGAACTCGAGCTGAATTCGGAGGATCTTGCCCTCTTCATGCTCCAGAGAGCCCTGGAAGAAGAGTCTCTTCTATCAATATGCATTGGTTTAAACAATGAGAGGAATATTGTTATTAAATGAATAGACTTGTGGACCTCAGCTTCTTCCAGAGCAGTTTGAATATCAGCCTTCTCCTGCTCCAACTGTTTGCGGTACTTCTCCAGGTCATGGATGGTCTTTCCTCCCTCACCAAGTTGTGCAGTCAGGTCAGAAATTTCCTCTGTTTGGAGCAAATTCATGTAATCTATGACTCTCCCAACCTTCCTGCTGTGTTACAAGTCATGTTTTTATTATATATTCCTACCTTGGAGATTTTTGT